AAGAGAGAGAGAGAGAGAGAGAGAGAGAGAGAAAAGAAGAAGAAGAAGAAGAAGAAGAAGAAGAAGAAGAAGAAGAAGAAGAAGAAGAAGAAGAAGAAGAAGAAAAAAAAGAAGAAGAAGAAGAAGAAGAAGAAGAAGAAGAAGAGGGGGGGGGGCGTATAGGAGAAAGGCGTATGGATTATGCCTAGGAATTATTATAAAAAGAGTGCGTGGGATCATGAGGAAACCTGACTCCAACTAGAAAGAAAGAGACTTGGATAGAAGAGTTAGGTTACACTTCTTCAGAACACGCGTGACTAAACTTTGAGTAAACATTGTGATAGGTTATTTTTACTCTTGGTTTCGTTTAAGTACGTTGGTTCGTGGCATACATTTTTACTTCTACTTATCCGTTATGAGCATTACGATTTAGAGGTTACCACAGGTATTTTCAGGATGAAATGACAGACAAAATTTGGACTAATGGGGGTCGCAAAATGTGTGTATGTGGGGAAGGGGGGTAGGGGTGGGGGAGGGGGTACGTGAGTATGGCCGTATCAGCAAATGGCACAACACCAATATGAACATGTACTATATCAACAAAATCAAGCGAAGCATAACTCAAAAGGAAGAGAGAAAGAAGGAAAAAGGAAGGAAGAAAGAAAGAAGGAAGAAAGGAAGAAGAAAAGAAAGAAAGAAAGAAAGAAAATAGGGCGAAGGCAAATGAAAAAACCCCACAAATCTACCAAGAAAATGCTTTTACGCAAGATTTTAACCAGCTCAGTGATACAACATTTAAGAAAATTTACCTCGAACGCTTTATAATTATTCCAATTCAGCTCGATGTGATGCTACGAATTACGCTGCTCGGTTGCGCATTCTCTTCTAGCTGTGTTAACAAGGCGATAACCACTTAGCATTATAATTTTTTGAGCGCATCGACCACACTATTATATCAATCTTGGCATCACACAGTCTGGCGACTTCCTCGCCCCTGTGGACGATTGGTTCTGCAGACTAAAATAGACCAGTCCTGGCCGCGAAGTCGTGTGACAAATTAATTTAGTTCACATTGTTTAGTCTTTGGAACGCATCCTTCCAAGAGTTTGCGGGAGCAAACAAGCACTGGCTCAGACGAGTTTACAAATTGTCTCATGAGTCTTGCACGTGTGTCTGTGAAAGCTACTCCCTAACTTTGAAAATCAAAACAAAAGGAACAAGACGATGATTTTCTTTCTTATAAAAATAAGATACAATTTCGAAATCAAAACTTACAATAGAAGTTTATATTATAAAGATACAAAGGGAAAATTGGTTCATGTACATTCTCTTCAGTTCTGTTTCTCTGTCCCCACTTGATCAATGAGGAAACTAAAGACAAATTGTAGAGAAATAGGCTTTTCTCTCAATTTTATTTCTTCTCTGTAAAATGTACACACACACATAGACACACAGACAGTCACACACACACACACACACACACACACACACACACACACACTCAAGCTCACGTACACACACACATACACACACGCCCATTCATTCTCTCTTTCTTTCTCTCTCTCTCTCTCTCTCTCTCTCTCTTTCTCTGTTTGCCTGCAGTCCGACCATTAAAAATTTGTCTCTCTCCTCCCTCTCCTTTTCCACTCCCCCCCCCCTCTTTTTCCATCCTCTCCTTGAATACCCATTGAAGCCATCATTCAGACACCCAAAGGCACACCCCAGATTGTTTTGAACATTACATAATACAGTTACTAACATAAAGCTCTCGTGCCTTCTTTTCATATTGATGTAGTAAATCAACTTTAAGTTAGTCTTAAGAGACTTCTTCCGGTTAATGAAGTAACTCTCCTGTCTCGATGAAGCCCAGAGAAAGAGAGAAAGAGAGAGCGAAAAAATAACAGGCTCTATTTTCAGCGACGCGCCTAATAAACGATGCTATAAAACAGACAAAGAGTAGGAGGAAACTCAAGTTCTAAGTACAAGTGTGTTTCTTTATTTATTCTGAACGGTAGAATGGAAGGGAACTGTAATGAAAACTAAGGATTACCCAACAAACTACAGTCGAAACTGTGTCAGACGGCCACCCATGTCGAGTAGAAAAGTTGTCGTCTTAGACAGGTAGTCGTCTTACACAGTGTCATTATAATGAGAAAAAATACTCAAGGGGGGAAATTGGAAGTCGTCGTTTGCACAGGTGATTTTTATTATATATGTGGTCGTTGGAGCTGACTCGACTGTACTCGCAATCAAAACGGTTGACCGCTTCAGGTGCGGTGCAGATGTTTCTGAGCTTTGACCTTTTACTGTGATAACTTGCAGTTTGTTCGTTGTTCCAATCCCAGAAGATGTTTAGTTTTTGTAACAGTTTTCCAGCACTTGCAACACAATGAGGTCATATAAGTGCTGAAGATTAGAGATTTTACAAGGGAGTAACAAACATAAAAAGGAGGAGAGATGAGGACGATAGAATGGAAAGAAGAAGCAAACCACACCAGAGCACCCGCCAACCACACACGAATCCTAGAAGAAAACTGATTAACACAACACATTAGGACTCAACAATAAGATTTGCTGGACTACGGAGCGGATGACCCTAATTTGTATCTACCAACGGACATTTTTAAAACACGGTTTGGTTGTGGAGTTTTCGTGACTCTCCGCCCACTTGTATAAATCATATCGGAGATCGACGTGGCAATAGTAGCTCGTACCTATGAGATAACATTTCAGTGTTCAATGGGGCGTTATATCCATATAGTAGTGTGCATTAACATGACTTCAGACTGAATCAACGATATCAGAAAATGGAAACATTTGAGAAGAGTTCATTTGATTACCATGATATAACTTTTTCAAATCATTATTGTGTCGGCATGAATCACTTCCTTCTTTTTCTCAACAAGCCGTAT